TACCTATTAACTTGGGAAACGGCCTCGTCGAACATCCTCCTTGATTGCCTCCATCTGGCACGGGGCCATACTCCTGTACATCTTTCTGACTTCCCACATAAGACACAAACCCTGTCTTGGTGGCGATTTCTCTATTTTGTCTTCGCATTAGGTTCTACCGCTTTGTCAACGACGTATTCGTCACATATTCCAAAAGATACCCATTTATGAATTAATCGTCAGACACTGCCATACAGCCTCTACCGGTTCCACACCAATTATTCCTTGAATATCCCTGGAATGGACAGCATATTTGGCACTTAAAAGGCGAACTGCATATTCTTCTTTCTTTCCGCCAGTTGAAACTGATATCAAATGTTCGTTGTTTGTACGGAGAACTGTACGAACGAAGAACCGATTGAATGATTAGCCCGCTGTGGAGGGGTTGTCGTAACCCTTGTCTGCGCGAAGCGCGATAACTTCCAGGGTTCGTATTATTATTGGACTGAACAGTCAGGAGGCGTGGAACAAAAGCCCTCGCAAACACTAGAAATTTAAATGGTGAAAGCAATGCAAAATACCTCTCAAATAGATTCAGGAGTCATTTAGAGGTTTTCTCCCTGTGATACGCTCTGCATTAGTTGACCCGCCACTAATGAACCCCCGATACTGATGGGATCTCTCACCCCCATAACAATGAGACACGGGGTGGAGTTATTTGGCTCTGGCATTCATATTTCTAGATAAATATCTAGTGTGTGCAAGGGATTATATTCCACACCTCCGTACAGAACAACCCAGAGCGTCGAGGTTGGATGATAGATCCAATTATCCTCCCCGTCCCGGCGAGGGCTTCCCAAATTCACGAAAACGTTGTCAACCCGGTTGAAGTTGGTCTGGTCCTGCTCCTTCATTTAGCCAGCCACTGACGTACCTTTCAATTTCGAAGTTGGAACTTTGACCTGCCCCTTAATATGCAAACGTGGGGAATTTGGGAACGCTAAGACCGCCATGAACACTTATTCCAGTTAAGCTTTTTGGAATTCTTTCTGGGCCTTGGCCCCTTGGCTGGGATGAGAGATGTGGACCAATAGAGATCGATGTGTGGTTACATCATTGGAACTGACGGTGCATTTATTAACTTTTTGTCCGTACTTGGTCAGCCGCTGCAAATCCTCGTGTCCCTCCTTGTGCTGGACTAGAAGGCTAAAAATGACAGAAAGGTTGAGAAACTGAGGTGTACAGGTCGGGAAATTCGCCTTGCTCTATGATTGAGTTTCTTTGGTCACCTTCATGGCGCAAATTCCCTTTGTGTCTGAGATCAGCTCATTTTGACCTTGGGGATGCCGTTGAGGTCCGAAAGTTGTACGGACCTGTCTGCACTTTACATACGTATGTCCATTGTTGCATGGCAATCGCATGGTGTCGCGACTTGCTCATGAGATGATTCAAATATGCCCAGAACCCTTTCACGAGCCATTATGGAATGCCAGCCTGGGTTTGATACGAGAACCTTTCTCCGCGGGAAAAATCCTTTTTGGCAACCCTACGCAAAACCGTGGATTAAGGGTGATATGGACACAGGAACTTTCTTTATGCCCGTTAGCCGTTAGTTTCCCTTGGTGGGTTACCTTCAAATTTACCAGGTCTTTATCGCCCTCGCAGGGTCTGTCTTCTTCCTCAACGATCTATGGACCTCGTATATCTCAACAAGGATTGGTGAGAGACTCACTTGTAATAACTATTGGGTACGTTATGACTCAACCATCACACGGTATTGGTTGGCATTGTCCGTGTATTTAATCTTACTTCACGACGCCTGGAAACCGACACTAAGCCAAAACACACCATCAAAGACATGGCCTGGACTTTTCTCCGTGGATAAACCTCCATTTTAGCATAGATTCTCTCACTTAATGGCATGTTAACAGGATTTGTTGAGCATGGGAGGACGAAAGAGTCAACAGGGTAATCACGGAAGGTGTTTTCTCTCAACTATCATTCTGGCTGATATCTTGTCTTGGTTTTATTGCGCGGTTTCAACTGCTCGATACTGTTTAGTCTGTAAGCCTGTGTGGACTCACGACGGGTCAAAAAGAGTTGTCATGCAAAAGTCCCTGGACATTTTGGCGTAGCCTAAATTTCTCACACTATAAGAAACGTTCTACATGTCACTTAACAATAGGAAATATTGGTCAGTAGAGACTGACCTACACCATCCCCCCCCAACACAAACTACTTACGCACTTGAATAAATGCAACGGCTCTTACCATCCGTACCAGTGATAACTCATAAAAGAGGGTTTTTTATTTTTTATTTATTTATTTATTTATTTTTACGCGAGTTTGTCCAACTATGCGTGTTCTGGGACCCAACAGCCGTGGCTGCAAGGACCAGAGAATACTTTCTGCTACTCCTGAGATCGAGTTATCTTGGCTTTTCAGCTGTCCTTGGAGTTTAATGTTCGCCCGCGACCCGATGGTCGATTGTGTTGGCCTGCCCCGCCGCGAAGGTCGGAAGTTCAAGCCAGGTCCTGATTCAATTGATCACACTACCCAACTACTTTATTTCAATGACCTTGAATTTGATTCTCTCAATAATCATTCACACTTTCGAAGTGCAGAATTTAAAGATGAGATATTGCCTACCAAAGCTGGCAAGCAATGATGGACCATCTTATTGCTGAGGTTGGACTCTTTTTAATCTTGTGTGATGTTACTCATACATCTTATTTGAGAGAGACGAAAGTTTCGCAAAGAATGCCCAGCTGATGCAAAAACATCTACGTTCAGCCTGGCTGTTATTCTGTCTTCAGTATGGCATGCAGACAGAATCCCCCGTTTCAACTGCCGGGACTTGTATTCCTTATGGAAAACGGGGGAACACTTGTGGGTGCTTATGAAGAAGCGGAGAATAGCAGTTTCAATATGTATGGTTTTTCAATACATTCATGCTGAAGAATAATGAACATTATCAAACGACATCGTACCCTACTTCATGCCCTGAGTATAAAATAGATTGAACCTGGGTAAAAAGCCCTATCCATACATGCACCGATTAAAACTGCAGTTCCCTCAGTCCTTCCCCTTCCACGTACTCCTCACCATAACACTCCCGCTTTACAGCTTCCACGGTCTCTCTATCACCTCCAGCAATCTTCCTGAGATACTCTTCCAGCACATAGATATTATCCGTCCACATTTCGGCCTCTACCTTCCACCTTTTTATATCCTCCCCTTTCCTTTCAATGCCTCCACCAGCTCCCCCATCCAGATAACTCTCCTCCTCTACCTTCAACCTCATCACCTCTGCTTCCCCCTGCGCTTTCCTAGCCAACAATGTCTCTCTCTCATGCTCTTCATCCCCTCCACTATTCCCAATCTCAGTCAGAGCGGCGGTCTTCCGCTCTTCCAGCTCCAATACGACCTTCTCCAACTTCTCGAGCTCTTTCACGAGACTATTCTTTACCTTCTCCCTCTCCTTTTGCTCCTCACCCTCCCAGGCCCAATACCAATTGCCACTCCCGATTTTCTCCACGTGCAACTTTCCATCGTCTGTCAGAGCTTGGATATAGTCTTTCACCTGCATGCCGTTTATGGACGCGACCGCAGGGAGACATTTCTCAAGGTCTTTGAGTGTGTGGCATGTGCGTGATGCGCGGAGATGGTTGAGTATCAGTTGTTGTTTTGCTGCGGGAGTGAGTGATTTCGAGGGTGCCTTTTTGTATTTTGACAATTGTTAGTTTAATTTTCATGCAAAGATAGAAAAGAGAGTTAAGAGTAAAATGAATTATCATCTTTTCTTGTTTGTTAGGTGGTGAGGGATTAGGATGTTCACTTACCATTGTTCTCCAGTGATGATGAGGCGTACTATCCAGAGATACTGTGCATGCAAAACAGCCATAGAGCAAGGGCATAAGAAAGAAAATGTGGTGTCCTCGCTAATGTAGATATTGGGCCATTTGGAGCTGGCATATTCGTATGATATCGAAAGATATCACACAATTCCCAGCTGGTCAGTTAGGAACAAGCAAGGCGGAAGGAAGAAGGTTCTTCCTGGGTGGAATGAGCCTCCTCCGTTTCATTGGGAACAATGACGATTTCGCTCAGAGAACAAGCAAGGAATGATTGAATGATCACAGTTTCTACAATTATCTCAATCACCTGTAGCTTCAAATGTCCAGGCTGCGGCATATTTGTTATAGCAATACATCTATCTGATTGTGTATTCAGCAGCCAATGTGAAATTTGAGTCTTACATCCATTGGTTGGACCCTAGGGCGGGAACCACACGCATATCTGGATGCTGCCTGTACTATCATTTCACGCAGGATAGACTTTGCACAATTAAAAAAAAAATGAAAAAATGAAACGAAAAGCAGCCAAAGAAGATTTTCCTTCCCTAGAAAGATTTAAATAGAAGCCGTTACAGCTCCATCTTCACCACAGGCCACTTTTATAATGAACCAAAAGTTGGACATGCGACAAAGCAGAGATATGAATGATAGCATTATGCCAAATACAAAAACAATGGAAAAGGTCTTCCAAGGGATGTAATGGACATGTTATAGCAAGGGAAAGCGAATAAATAACACTCCATATAAGCCATCAGAAACCGCGTCAAGCACATGAGATAAGAGACAATCTCAGCTTTTAACAGGACTCATCACGACATTTCCTAGCTGCTTATAAGAACAAAGCATTGCTTTTACCTCATCTCTTTCTGTGCCCGCCTTCCAATGGTGTTTAGGTTTCTCCAAGTGTTTTCCTTATATGGTAGAAAATGGAAAGCCATGTGAACAAACATCAAAAAGCAAAACAGTATCGTCATCGCTATCGCATGATTATCCATGTATCGAGCATATTTGCTTAATGGCGAGAAAAAAGCATAGTAAGCGCTCGAGTTCAAATTCCAAAGATATTCGTATATATAATTCCCCTCGATCAAAGGCTTCAGCAGAATGGTCCTTTCGCACGAGGAAGGAAAAATATCACGGAATGATGGAAACAAGCTCCCCAACTTACAGAATAAGTTTTATAGGGATTAAGGCATTTTCGCCCTGCTTCTGCACTGCAGAAACAGGGTCTCTGACATCTCCATGGATTAGAATCGCAACCTCCCGTCTCGCAAGGGTAGTTTGGCCCGATCGCTTCCGGAGATTGAAGTTCCAGTTCTGCTCCAAAACATATAATCGCGCCAAAGAGAGCCAGAGTATAAGCATGTTCGGCTTCCTTGCTTCCCTTCTTGTGTTTACTTAGTCCCTCTCTCCGAAAAAAAAGGAAGCCTTCTGGAGAAGAAAGGTCAGGAAAATGTCCAAAAGGCAGTCCGGGCATAAGGAAATGACCTTTAATTCAATCTATGGGGAATATTGTCGCCGTGCATAAGAGGTAAAGCAAATGGGAAAGATCCCTACTTCGAATGAAGAAGGGGTGAGTTATATGAAAAAGACTCGTGAAACAATGGATGTTATTGAAGGTGCAATAGAAAGGGAACAGAGAAAAATCGACAGCCAATTGTCATTTAGAATGCTATGCAAGGCTTCACCCTATTCTACAGAACCCAAAGGGAGACAGGGAACATGAAAGCCAATCCTGCTTCATCCCAGTGCAATCCTTGGACAAGACAAAGAAAATTCCATAGATAAGCGACAAAAAGGGTAAGATTGGAGGGAAACATTTCAATAAACAACTCCATTGCAACCCATACTAGGTTTCTAGGCATCATTAATTTTCTTTGTTTCGAAGGGACTGGCATCAAACACTTATTCAGACTGGACAGAATGGTGTGAATAATATCTTCGTTGCCTTTTGGTCCTATGTTTCCGAAGCCTCGCCGTCTCATCTCCGCTAGGCGCGCTGCCACTCCCAGCAGTCACCCGCTTGCGGCCCTGGCTTAGGGAGCCAGAACGAGGAAAAGTTTCTTCACAGTCGGTTATCTCTTCCCCTTCAACAAAAACCATATCGCCAGTGTCGCCTAGTGATTCATTGGCGGCTTCTTCAAGAAGTATTCCCAGCGCGATCAGAGCCGTTTCATCAAAACTCAGAAAATCCGTATGTCCTTGATCGAGAGTCGCACTGGCGTAGAAATCAGAAGCGTAAGTGTGAATAGCTTTCAAAAGGTCAGAGTCCGGTAATCGCTTATCAGCTGGTAGACGCTCGTCAGCGAAGTAGAAGTCATTCTCCACATATCTCACGGGGGCATTTAGACGACGGAAAAGTGCTTCCTCTGGGGCAACAGGAACTGAAGAGGGCGTATGGGCCTGGCGTGAAAGGAGCGGAGGGCGGAAGCCAGAAGAAGAGACCCGACCTAGATTCAGTCAGAACTAGAGTATCAGTAGTAATTCCGAGTCTGCGACATACCAGCGACGGCATCGTAAACGCTAGCTTGCCGTCTTTGGCTCACCCGAAGTGGCAAGTCATTGGACGATTCCGCCTGGGACAGATAGCCTCCCGTCATTACGACTTATATCAAAGAAGTCTCCAGAGACACATCTCCTAAGTTACATCATAAACCCATCTTCAGCCGTTCTCCGTAGGTTGCTTTAAATTTGAATTCGTTGACGTCCTCAATTACTTCTGGCTGATCAGAGATTGATTTGCGGGCCGACGTTCTTCCCAACGCTTAAATAAGCTTAACTGCGAGCTAACTAACTAGTTAGTTAGATAAACTAAGTTAACTGTGGAGATTCTTTCTCTACAATGACGTCCATTTCATTTCAACGACATCAATGAAGGAGAAATGGGGCATATTTTTCCTTCTGAACATTAATACTCTAATGAATGAATTCTTATTTGCTGAATAGATCCCAAGGATCTATCAGCCCTTCCACTTTTCATGTGGCCCAAAACTCCCACCTCGTCCGTTCCATAGAACCAGCGCCCGGCATCAGGTTTTCCAGCGGCTTTACAGCTGCGGCCCCAGCTCCAAACCAGCCAGAAAGCAAAGCTGCAGCAAGTGGTGGGATATATGATGAAAATGACGGGGTTTGGGCTCATAAGTCTGGTGTTAATGTGTTGACAATCGATCGTTATGAAAAGCGGTTGTATGTGTAAGCTTCGGACTGTTACGAGTCTTTGGACTCTGCTAATTATCAGTGATACAGTATGGTTTCCGGTGGTGTCGATGCCTCCATCCATCTGTGGGATTTGGAGACTCGTGGATCTGAATCAAACTATCTTCACAAGTCCATTGCTTCGGTGACTAAGTAAATAATTATAGAGACCGTACATGCTTCGCAGAGAGGACTAATATCTCCTCCCAGGTCAACAAATCCATCAGCACACACACATGCGTTAACTTCTATTTCGATATATCCCTTCGATCAGACTCCGTCGACTATATTAACTACTTCTCATGACACTACATTAAAGCTATCTTCACTTCAATCTCCCAGCATCCTTCCGGTCCATACATTTTCGCTTCACTCTACACCATACTCACACTCGTTTTCGTCACATCCATCATCGCTTCTTTTAATTGCAGTAGGAACCTCAGATAAAACTGTAAGATTACTAGATCTTCGCTCTGGACTTGCCACCCACGCGCTGCCAGGACATACTTCGGCCGTCCTATCGGTTTCTTGGGCCCCACATCACGAATATTTGCTCTCATCAGCTTCAAAAGACAATCGTGTCATCCTCTTTGATGTCCGGCGGGGGGGCCGTAATTGTGCCTTATCTTCGCTTGATATGGAAGATGCAGTGGGTGTGATAGCCCCGCACAATGCCCCTCCTTCGCTAACCACCCGTAAACCGTTTATGCTTGACGCCCGTGCGCACAATGGGGCAGTAACAGGTGTTCGATGGACTTCAAGTGGCAGCCATATCGTCACTTCAGGGCATGACAACCGTATTCGAGTCTGGGATGCTTCCACAGGCGCGAACTCCCTAGTGCATTTTGGCCCGCGTGTTCGCAATAGTTCCTCCCTACATCTTGCCGAACGAGCGCCCCTTGTTTTGCCTGAAGGTGTCATGGATGCAGCACACGAAGCGCTTCTCTGGCCAAATTTTAGTGACCAGGACGACAAAGGGGAGATCTTCATGTTCGAACTTCATAGTGGCGCCTTTCTCAAACGCCTCAAACTTCCCGGAGTACCGACATCACGACAACAACTTCGAGGAAAAGCCACCGCACTTACTGCTGCACGAATAAATGATCTGGCATGGCGCGGGAATGGATCATCCGGCGAGGGAATGGAGTTGTTTTCTGCTCATGGAGACGGGACGATTAGGGCTTGGGCTTCGAGGACCTCGGATGGGGAATCGGATATTACCGAAGGTGATGATGAAACAGAGGACAGGAAGCGGAAAAGGGATGTGCTTGATGAAGTTTACCGTGGCTTGATGAACCAAAATGTCACTTTCACCTGATTCACACTGAAATTGGTCATTTCTGAATTATTACGTGAATGGCATACAACTTACATGGTTTTACCGGGACGTTGGAAATAGGCGGGGAGGAAAAGAAAAGGAGATATATTTTCTTATCGGCATCTTTGTTCCAATGGATGTGCCGACCTCACAAAACCGCGTACATAACTACCCCAATCCATGGATCCCTATGACTAAAAAAACAACCCTACGTCAATAGAGGTTTAGTATGTGCGTATAAACCTATTAATGCACCTCCGGAGCACATCCTATCCACTTTACCAATAAAGGAATACCCGAACAGCGGCAATAATCTGCGTTACCAGAAAGACGATTTCTGGAATAGCTTTCCCTGAACACCAAAACGATTATGTCAAGAATGAAAAATCAGCCTCTCAGCTTCCGAAAGCTATGGTCCCCCCCCCCCCCCCCCCAACAACAAAACTAAAGAAAAAAAATAATCAAATATCAAATGGGATTTCTCGTGCTACATACGACAATGTATTTGGAATTGACCCTCACATGAGAAAGTGCTCTTTCATCCTACATTATATCTAACAGGAATGTTCTCGATGAGTTTGAAAATCAAACGTTGACAGCAGCATTTGTGCATTGATTCATCTTGAATGTCCTCATTCGTACGCATGTATACTCTTGATGCCTTACCCCTCGAATCTACCGTTCCTTCAAGAAAACATATAACCCATCGCTACCGGAAACCGGCATAACTAGCTTGCATGATTACTCAAAAATGGAGTTTGAGGATCTATTGTTGTGGCCATGGATTTCTAGTCAAATACTTCGGCTAACACAGGAACGATTAGTAGTTTGGATAGGAGTCTGCAGAGATTTATTCGGGCGGATGTCGAGGAACGATACAGGCACAGTACAACGCTGCATCCCCCGAGAAACACAAAATAAAAATAAATGTCCTTTGCTTTTACATATCAGAGGACGAGATTGGATATAGAAAAGAACCACCAATTAGAAATGCTACACAATATCAATTTTTATTTGCGGGGGGTTAATCTCCAAAATGTATTCCACTGGATAGATTAAAGGCTGGAGTGGCGTGAAAATATCGGACTATACGTATACTATACAAGGAGGTGTGAGCGTACAATTTATGCGAGTTTTTTAGATATTATTGACGGGATTATCTTAGTGAAGTGATACATCTAAGGTAACTAGTAATACGTGAACAACAGACATGTATGGTCCAATCGTTACATCAAAAAAGGTGATACAATAGATAGAAGAATAATGCGTGGGTTATTTTGAAATAATTAGTTAGGTCTTTCAATCCATTCCTCCCAAAATATAATCAGATTTTCCTCTAAGAAGAAATGGAAAGATATATATCCTCATCATTCATAATTGCCATCATCACTATCAGTGTGATACGCCGTGCTGGATATCTAGATAGAAAAATGGGTGTGAAGAGCATCATCTTCTAACCCATCCCTGAATGGTCTCTTCCGCAACGCCTTTTTGTCGGCCACGAACAACGCTAAAAAAAATATACACCCTGGGAGAAAAAGGGAAAGAGAGGAAATATGGTGGAAAATGGAATCAATACAGAAACAGAGGACGAAAGGGAAATTTAAGAGAATAACGCCATCCCTTTATTCTTGCGCCAATGCCAATGTCAATTAACCTCCAAGTAGCCACACAATAATAAACGATGTAACTTTGTAAGGGGGAGGAACCGGGGGGGTAAAAGATGTAACAAGTGTCTGGGTGGATATAGTAGAATATGTGAAAGAATGCAGATTGAAGTGGAAGAAAAGGTAAACTCGACACCAATGCCTTAGTAAATGAAGCCAAGGATTTGGGGGGACAAATTTGGGTATTGGTTACTGTCATTGGCGCCGTGAAAAATGGCAGAAAGGGACCGCCGAAAAATCTCGTTCGATAATTGCGTTCAGGGATTTCAGAATTAACATATATTAAGGGTGGGATGGCCATGATAATGGACTCCCAAGACTTTTGCAAGTTGAATTCTCAAGGTCAACTTGAGAAATAACAATGGATTATCTAAAACGATTAAAAGAGTGTATTTTGGAATCAAAATATAACTTTCCGTGAATCATATTAGTAAGAAATTCCATTCGTTTTGCTCCATAACATCCCGCCAGTGGATGTTTGCAAGCTTGGAATGTTGTTGCTGCCTTTGCTTCTCGTCTCCAACTGATACTCCCCCACCAGGGGTAGTAGTAGTGGAAGAAATAGGAGTAGGGAGGAAAGACGTATCAGCAATAGCTGCATCAGATTGTCTCCAGACCTCGTGCAGTAAGCAAGCCATACGGCCAAAGTTGCCACTGTCAGCTTGGTTACCCAGCATCTCGGTGCGACGTTCAAACATGGCGCGGAATTGACTGTCCGGAGTGGAGAAGGAACCACATATTAGGAACGGCCAGGCGAGGGAGCGATCAAACCCTTCCGGCCCACAAGGGATCAGATTTACCAGCTCCGCAAAGTCGGAAATTAGCTTTCTGGTGCCTGCCTGACTTCGGTGGAAACCTGGCACAAGGCTGCAGAGATACACACGCGCCGAAAGACGGTAGAGGGCAGTCATGTTCTGGGACAGTTGACAGGGATGGAGGACACCTGCGTCGTTGACCGGATAGACGAGAGATCCCGGTGGTGGTTCGGTGTGGTCGAGTTGATGGGCTAGTGCGGTGATGTGCGAGCAGAGCTGGATATCGTCGATACGACTTTCAATTTTCAGTGCGTCGAGGCAGGAGATCTCGGAGATTAGATACATAACACGATCCTCGCAGCCCATCAGATCAGACAAACCGGAAGAGGAACCACCAAGAAGTTGTGTGCGGTAAACATGTGCGCATTGTGGTGTCTTGCCCAGCATTGTAGAGCCCAGGATGTCGATCCAGGCAACCAGCGTCATGCTGAATGGTGGGGGGATATTCTGGTTGTCGGCGTCGAGCAGCATCTGGGGAAGTTGGAGTCTGCTGATTAGTTCTGTGACTGGTTGGAAATGAGAATGCCAGGGGATATCAAGCAGCACATCATTTGGACAGCCAACGGCGCAGGGAAACAGGATCATCGCAAGGATCGCATCCAAGATTTGAAGGTTGTCAGTATCGTGGGTCAGTGCTTCGTTGAGCTCCTTCACTGCCTCACCGCGATTGTTGAGAATGGCATTATCGAACTTGTCGCCTTTGTCGCATTCTGCTGACTTTAGATGCATCGCAGCGATACTGAGACAGCAGTGGAGGTAGGCTTTGTTTGTCTGCAAGGCTGGCACAACATGCGACTGTACCATACCCTGTTGTCTAGTCTCCAGAACGGGGTATATAAGGGGGATGACGTTTTCAAAGAAGTGAGTTAATAGATACCGGTCACCATCATCAAGGTTGAACATGTCGGCAATGGTTGGTTCAGATGGCATGGCGAAAAATCCGAAATCGTTGGCTTCAGGTGAGCTAAACGATTCCTTGCAACTCTCGAAATATTCCTCCTTGATCCAGTCGTCACCGGGAAATGCGGGCAGGGTGGCATGAGGCATGGGTGGCTGGAATGTGCTGAAGGTTGAAATCGAAGAGTCCCGTCGAGTAGGGATGTCATTGACATACATTTGCCGTTCTGTCTTAATGTCGACCTCATAAGATGGCACTGTTCCGTAGAACACGGCTGCTTCGAAATGGGGAGTTTGAAGTTGAGAGCCGAATGGGTCGAATGGATCATGCAGCGGGTAGCTGAAGTCATGTCCCAGGGAGAACTGCGATTCAGCAGAGTTCGCACGACTCATGCCCATACCATCCGAAAAGGCATCTATTGTCGGGACAGAATGTGACAGGCTGGGGGTAGTAGTATGTGCACAGCTGTTTGCGCGGGTATTGGCATTCGTGCTGGCCTTCTCACTGAGCCTGGTATTCTTGATTATATCCTTGATTGCCTCCTTTTGCATACGTCGCTGGTCACCGTTCCCCCACCACATGGGTCGTTTGTATTCACATTTCAACTTGAGATTTTTGCAGGCTTTGCAGACAGACTTCCCTTCATCGCACTTCTTTCTTCGTAAACGGCAGGTAAAGCACCCTACAATTACGGAGGGCATGAGTATCCTACAGAATATGTATACCGTATACCAATGTTTGTTTTGCAGTTTAAACAGAAAAGGAGAGGAAGGACGTACCTAATCTAGACCTTCGATGGGTCTTCTCCGCCGATTTTGGGGAAGAACTTTGGGCAGGCTTTGCCTGGGGTTTGGAGGAGGGTTTGCGAGAGGTTTTGGTGACCTTCCCTGCAGGATTCAACTCAGAAGAAATCATCTTTGTAGGTGGTGTGGGTGCCTTCGACAGGGGTGCGATGGCTGTGTAGGACATAGTAGAACAATTGGTCCTAAATGAATATTACGAAGACAAGACCTTGCTCGTCTCGATTCTCCACTCTTCAGGAACCGAGTAATTGAGAGAGGTATTTAATTTCAAGGAACGACAAGCTGTAGTTGAAGCTTGGTTCAGGGGGGTCCAAGCCGTACTATTTCGACAGGCGACGAGATCGGATTGCTTTTCGAATATTTTGGGGGGGGGGGTGTGGTTGTAGAACAATGAATGGCGCAAAGCCTGACCAGCAGGCCTTGATAATAGAATATCTGTCGAATTGGGGAGAGGCGAATAGATGATAGACAGATAAATAGAGGAGGACGAGGAGAATATCCAGCAATTCGAGGTCGCGCTGCTGTGAAGCTTGTAGCTCTCAAGTTCGGAAGTGTATAGGGCATGGCGGGTTTAATAAGAGTCCCTCTCCAACGTCGGCTGGCCAACTTCTGTTTCTATTTTTGAACATGTTTGCGGATCAGATGCGGCTATGATCCTAAAAGGACTAGACTGGGGAAAAAGGCATGCAGTCCTGGATGGGTCATGGATTTGGTGGAAAAAGGGAGGGTTGCGGGCGAATGGCCTGGCACCCCTGAGCAGAGAAGAGTTCCAATTGGGCGGACCGTGGACATCATACAACCAGATCAAGCGGAGCCCTTTTCAAGCCTCCAAACTAAAAAAGTGGACCCAGAGGTTGCAGGCATTGGGTCGGCGGGAGATGCGAGAATGCTGCTGGTCAATCTTGCGGAGGTTGAGATGAGGGGGGGAGGGTTGGACATGGGCGGTAATAGGTTGGCTTGTGCTGACCTAGGGCAAGGATGCCAGCTAAAAATTGATCACTGCGAAATGGGCTAATAGCGGATGGAGTAGCACTGAGGATAGTTCTACAGGAAATCCCTAGCCACTCAGATGTTCACCTTGTCAGTTTGGTGTTCTCATGCTCATGGAGCAAAGTACAAGGGAACATGCGAACCAGGAGCACACATACGCCGTACGATATCATACTATTTCTGGGCATTCGAGGTTCGTCACGTTGTAATACTTCTCCAAAATCCTAGCATGTTCAACTTCATAGAGGGAAATAGCATAGCTATTAGACGTTTATTCTTCATGTCAGTATTTGCGCTCACTCGGATAACCATATATTTAACTAGCAAACCATTTGCTCTGTAACCATTCAAGAGAAGCTCAATTGCATTTCTGTCAGGCCGCTTGGCTGGGAGAGTCCGCACTATACTGTTAATGTTGACAAAGACATCACGAGAAATGATGCATGCAGCTGGGAACACAGTGTACCAGATAACTAGTTACAGTAGTTACCGAATCATTCTCACGCATCGTTCACTCAGGTGCCAACCAACATGTTACCGGGGGCGTAGACCCATAACACAATGATTTCCGGTGTCATACAGAGAGAAACGTTTGTATGTACAGTTTGATGTAATCTGTTTTATATGCAATGTTGATATACGGATTGGCCCCACCTGGCGATGGCAATTTCGGTAGTTTGAATAGCTTCAGTTGGGGGATATCGACTCCATCCACTTCCAAGCTTCTTCTTCTCATTCAGCCATCGGATAACCACGGAGCTAATATCGTCTGCTTTTCGGATACGGTATATCAAAAGCATCGATTCTATGCGAAATTGAACGTCTGGCCTCACTAGCCACTCAGACACAATTTCTCCAATGTATGTACCCTCCCAGCGGAGTCTCTGTAGGACGTAATACATCACGAGGTTCGATCCAACTTGCGATGGAAGATCTAAAAGGGGGGCGCATGCCATTCATGAAAGCCTTTCGTTCTGCTCCGTACCCTATCAAATAAACGAAGCGGCAAATTACCGTCATCCATCGTAACGTATTTGATACGAGAAAGAGAGATACGTAGAAATCTGAGTGTCACGGGGGGGAACGACGTGTGGTGCAGCGAAAAATTGTGACCTTCGTCGTTAGGACTTGAACAATTACATGCCAAGGCCTGTCCTCTGGCCCTCGATTCGATTGCAGAACTCAAGCCAAAGACAGCGTTGTGCAGGGATCGGGGGGGAACCTTGAGCCAACTGTGCGAAAATGTGCAAGCTGTGGCAGAGCTGTGGCGGATCGAAAGTCCTCGGTACCTCTGATGCTTGGGCTTGGGCGCCAACCCTGCGAGGCGAACTGAAGATGTTGCAAGTGACTGGGACTTCGGTGGATCCCACTTGGCGCTCCGAACAAACAAGCTTGGACGTGATTCCAATTGATCGACTGCATAACGTGGCGTATTTTAGATCGTCAGTCCGGTTGAAGTTTGGCGTTAGCAAAGTGGAGTCTGCCATTCAAGGTTGCCGGTTCTCCCCACACGTCCCGCCCAACCCTAACTGAGGTTCCTCTGATCTTATCCCTGATCCATGGACGAAGCTAGTCACAACCTCCACAGGCCCGGCTTTTCGACTCCGAAACGGTTGTTGGTTGTCAATATTGAACTAATACTCCCTAATTAGTAGCAATTAACCGCCCATCCAGTTAATTAGCATGCAATTTTTTGGGTCTCAAATCTGCCCACACATTGTCACATTCCCCGGCGCTTAACCAATCGTTGCATGAGAACTGCACTTCAACCATCATTCAACATGATGCTATTAATACTAATTTTGCCCCAGACTGAAAAATTATCTCGCAATTCACCCGTTTTTCTATTAATAAATTACTCCTTTTTCAGATCATTTTACCCCTTGACTGATTGAAATTGCCGTAAAATTAGCAACAATTCCTTATGGTGTGCTCCGTTGGTTCTCCACTTCTCATACGCCAGATGGCATCCGATCGTTGTGAGAGGGACGGAAGATAGCATCTGGCCTAAAATTGTTCCGTTTATTATCTTCCTTTTATCTTATTTTATTTTTTGCCATCCGACCAAGAATCGTCAGGGCCAGGCTGCATGACTGATTCCTAAACCGTCGCCAAATCACAACATTGCGCGGGACTAAAGGACAATTCTCTGAAAATGAGATCCTCATATCCGGCCAGGGAATCCGCATCTTATTTGAGAACAGAAGCGAAATTGAAATAGACTAAAATACACAGGCAACCTGCTCAAATGATTCCTATATCAGCATCCATTTCCCCTCTCTGCTATCAACTCGTTCTGCTCCACTCTTTCTCCTTTCCCCCTATCCTATTTCGCTCCCTAAGTCTTAGCTCGCTACAAAGCTCCAAAATTTTTCATCTTCGTTCCCCCTCCCTTCTGTCACATTTCACGTCTCTCCCCAGCTCCGGGGTTAATATGATCTAGAATTCCAAACTGTACTAAACTCCCCCAACAAAAACAACTCCGAAGTTACTTCATAAGCTAGCTACCCATCCATCCCAGTCTTTCTCTTCTTACCTAGGTGTGTCTACTCAAATCAGGAAAATTCCGCGGCCTCATGGGCTTATCACCTTAGCCGGGGAGAAGAGAGAGGGACCCAAAACCAGAGTTAGCAATCAGAGGTTGGTGTGGTAAGAGGCGAAAGCGAGTTCAAATCCACTGCACTTAAAGTCGCTAGTCGTGATCTACAGGATGCACAGTGCATTCTCCCCCCGTCTGAGTTACATGCATGCTGACAGTCACCCCCGCACATCACTTTAATATTCCTGTCGCTCTCTTTTCTATAGCCTTGGGAACTTATCACGTCTTTTTATTAGTTTATTTTTTACCCTCGATTCCTGCCTCTTGTCACTCAGACATGCTGGCGGGTTACTTTTCTATTTGATTCTTTTTGCAATGTCTTTGGGTGAGAAAATCTGTTGTATCGCGATTTTCCTCTTACTTCACATCTTCCTCCAATTCGTGTGCCTCTTCTATAAATTCCTTCCCTGGTAGAAGAATAGTATGGCGTCATGCCAACCAATTCCTTAAACGCATTGATCAACTGTCCGAGTGCGGAACGTTTCAAAAGGCGTTGTATATCAGCGTTACATTTTTTTTTTCTTTCAATATGTACTGTGACTGCACACATATATTGCGGCGGCAGCAGCCGAAGAACATACACTGACGTAATATTTGAAAAGCTGCGAGGATTTGCATCAATATGTGGAATGTATCTGACTTGCGAAATTTTGTTTTTGTTCCGTCTATGACCCCTTTTTTGATACAAACATCAGCATGTAGGTCGAGCTGAGCATTGTGCCCTCCACACAACAGGCAATTGCTCTACTGATGCATCAGCCAACTTCTTTCCCGTGGTCAACTCTGGTAGTAATCCTTACCTGGTTAGGCCGACTTGCTATTTAATATACCTAACTCCCAGCCGCGGTCTTTGTGATGGAGGTGGGCCAATAAGTTTTGATTCACAGGTTCTATATGCTTTGTGAATGATCAAATGTGTAGCTTACCTGTTGATAGATTATGATGTCTGAGTGTAGTTTTCTCTTCTCTGTTCATCATGAAAAGAGAGGTCAGCATTATGTCTTCGCATTTAGCAATGTTAAGATGGAACATGGCATATCTTTCTCACTCCAAAGTTCTAAACCTAAACTCGGACTTCATATTTACTTCGTTCGTTTCAATGGCGCAACTTTTGTGTAAGGTGGAATAAGAGACAAAACGATACAACCTCCCTGAACTGATAAGAATCCCCGCAATCCAAGGTCTTTTATTTATTTGTTTATTTTTTCTGTTGCAAAAACTATTCGTGCCCGGTAGTAGCAATGAAGCTTCGAGGATATTCATTCGAACACATTAACTAGCGTTTGGCAAATCACATGAACCCAATTACTCCGCAAATTGACTGTCAGCAACTGATTGCTGCACATGGACATAGAGGAAAAGCATGAATGTTATATGGATCGCTTCTGGTTGCAACTCCATCCGGTGCTGTGTTATAAGGTTGTATGAAGCGGGATAAAATGACTGCACAGTAAAAATTTATCAAGTTGATGTGGCACAACTAGCCCTGCATGATGCAGCGGTCTGATGACTTCGAAAGCGCGGGACAAAAGGCGGCACGAATGGCTAGGAATTGGTTCTTGTTGAATGAAGATTGAAATAGATGCACCGTTGCAGTAAAACAACAGCATGCTTTCAAGGGAAGGGAAACTTACTCTGTAAGCGTGTAAGCTTTAGCTTTAGTTTTCACCGGGGGTAGTGAAATATCTGATACCTCGAGCATTTGCCCGGGGTAAGTTAGCCGTGAAAACTGACTCTTGTGTCCTCTCTGACGAGTAGGCAAAAAGACAAGCTGAAGGCAAGTAAGCTGACTTAATATATGATAGCAGATCGTATCGGTAATCGCACATGTAACTACGGTATGATGAGCAATTGTCCACGGATCGTGCCATGCGGCGGATGACAGTCACATTTCAAATAATTTGGCGTATACCTGCAATGCAATATCAGGGTGGAAATCACGCAAAATCTTTCAAAAGATGCTTGATTTGGCATCGCAAGTGATTTCAATTTGGACTGGGCTTGGTAACTAGCTGATTAACTAACTGATTAGTTGACGGGAAACCAAATTGCTAACCCCGAGAAGAAATGGTCTGCTAATATCCCTTTGAACCACCAACTTCTTCACATCGTAAAATTTACTCTTAACTGAGTTTCAACCCTAAGTTACCTACCCTTCCCCGCTTCCTTCTGTGCATATCTGATCAGCCAGATCAGACCGAGCTTGAAAATTAACTATGTTCTAGATTCCAAGTCCTTATTTTGTCCTCTTTTTTCGAGTTATGGTTTCGTGCTGTCGGCCGACTAGACGCCACATGGCGGTGAAACTTCAGTGGACCTCAGTTCTTCTCTACACCCTGCCGATCTTCGCTTCCAAATAACTATCAAGAACAAAAAGAGCCAGGTGTTCACATGACTAGCCGAGGCTAGGGGTCAATGACGTTCTGGTCGAGAATACGAGTCACTGTGACATTTTCCTTTCTTTTCCTTCGTCCCAGCCAAGTGTGTTGGCGGTTTTCAAGGGTTGTTGTGCGTCTTCAAATTTTGTTCCTCTAGGACGGGGAAAGGAAAAGTCTAGTTGAGAATTGCATATGTTCCCTAAGGTGAGAAGACATCAAACAGGTAAGGACTGCGGGATGTTGCCTTTCTAAGACTTCTCTATGCCTTTGGAGTGAATAATAAGAATAGTCGAGGAGCTGCTGCATCCTTGAAACGAAAACGGACTGGACCCTTCCCAGCGGCTTTCCCTGCTTACAGAAGCTTGGGTGAATTTCAGTAGAGATTGGAGAATAGAAGGGTGTTATCTTCCAATGTCATTCCGAACGGACATACTTGCGCCAAAACGTAAGGAGATGCGCAAGAAATCCGCCACTGGAGAGGCAGGAAAAAGATGAGTCTATATGAGTCATGAAAAGACCAGATAGACTGCAGAATCTCATAGGCAAATTGGGTCGCTGAAAGAGCTCAAAAATGGAGCAGAAGCCCATTGCAGAGTTCCACGAGGAGCATCTATCTGAAAAGAACGGTCAGGAAGTGTGGGGGACATTCATTGCTCCATCCATACGGGACCAATTCAACACTAGTTATGATGAACAGCGTCCAAATCCGTAGACGGCAGCCAATGTGTTACGTTGTTTGTTGAGCGTCCAAGAGAGTTTCCATGGAACTGAGAAACGCCATTGTCTTTCTGGTTGCCCGGAAATGAGAGAGATGACGCAGCATCACAGGTTTTCGTGCTTCGGGCTGGGGAGCGTGAGAATTGGATATTGGGAAGGAAAACAATTTGCTGATATATCAAGCCCTAGTTATTCCGTAGCCCAAACTCTTTTTTCGCGCAGCTTAGGCATACTTTTGAGCTAGTTGGTGATGTTTAACCCTTAGACCATAACCTTCGGTTTTCGTCCTCTTTCAAATGTTGTTCCAACTGATGAAGTTCAGATCCGTTTCGCACGTGAGGTATCTACAGGAGACGACGGGCAACAGAAACTATATAGTTAATAATCAATCCCTGACTTTTCAGTATGTGACCAGCAAAGTCGAAGCATGTTTCCTCTCAACGACAAAACAAAAATAAATAAATAAATAAATAAATAAATAAAAAGAAAATAAAAAGAAAAAGAAAAGAAGAGGAAATTTTAAACCCTGATGCCCTTCATTGCTAGTCAATGCAAATGATGTTGAGAATGGTGAGAAAAAGGCGAGGTTGATGTGATATCGCATGTTCCGTTAAACGGACAAGGTTACTTCAGCAAGTGAAAAATGTAGGATTCCTTACATTCTTCCGTCACCAAACCACTCAAAAATCTCCTCTCTGCACATTGTCGACCACATAACTTCGCCAAGAGGTAGCCTGACAGCGAGGATCAAATTCTTGCTTCCGTGGTGAGGGGAAATGAGGGGAAATGGAGTTTTTCGGATCCCACTCCACGGCAGAATAGCATGGCCATCATCTCAGCCATGCGGTTTGCTCCTCATCTGATCGCTGAATGACATCAATATTGAGAGAGAGGAGGGGTAGAAACAAGCCACATCCATCTAGTCAAGTCGTGACAAACGGCTCTCCGTTGCGGAACAGAACGCGGGCCGATTGTCGTTCAGCTTTCCAAAGTCAGAGAGCCACATATGAGTGGGGCTGGTGGAAGAACCATTTAACAATGGCTGGAGAAACACCACATGATCAATTGTTCAACAAGGTCAAACCTTGGAGGAGAAATGGACACAAATTCAGACGAATTCGGCTAGGCTAATTAGCGGAATTAAAAATAGCGAAAGTTGAGAAAATGGGGCCTGCAAGCCATAGGTATTCTGATGAGGTTTCTTACGCAATCATTCCGCCCCAAGCAGCATTGTTCTTGACGGAAGAATGAGCAGGAAAAGGCGAAAGAAAATGAATATTAAATATTGCGAAGTTCACCCCAGACATTCGCACGAGAAGCTATTCAAGTCAAACAACCAAGGGTGTTTTATATCTCGCTCCGCCAAGTTGTGAAGAAGTCTGAACCCAGGAGGACTTCTGCAGACCAGGGCAGATACATGTTTGCGCAGCTGTGCCAAATCTTTTTCGCACTTGGTGCAGGAACTGCGGAAGAATAGATTCGACATAAAGTGGTGCAAAATGAGCCAGATCGGGACGCTTCAGCGTTCATCGGTATGCCCTTGGGTTGGATGTCCCACAAAATTTTCTACGCCGTGTATCCGCGGAGGTTACTGCATGTCTAGTTTATGATCAACGCTGGCTTATCCGTATTGTGTCCATCTGGCCTTATATTTAAACGGATAACGATTGATCAAAAACAAATGGTTGCCTTTTCTGGAACCCATTTCTGCGCTCGCAGAGACGTGCCGGGATAGCCCTCGAGATGCATACACTCGTTGAGACTACTTAGCATACATCGTAGATCTATCTGTCTTGGGAAATGCAGGATTCTGCGATCGCTCCTCCTTCAAGTTGCTCTCTTTCTAAAGATATATCGATCGATCGATCGAACAGCATAAAAAGTGTTTAGTGCAAGGATGCATCTTTAACTGGCATTTTCGGATGAAACACAACGTCCCTAAATAGCAGTAATATTGCCCCTCATAAGGTGGAAAAGGAAAAGAAGTTTTCTAGGTTCAGACCCTGTGCAGGCGATCAACGATTATTACCCCAGATTGGAGGCCTCTATTCCTTCTTTTTACTTTTATTTTTGGGGCGCGTAACCCAAGATCCGTTTCATTTGTTCGTTCTACCTCGAGCAAACTTCATCCCTTGACACCAAAGAGCGAAGGAGATGTCTGTCCAGCCAATAGAACCTCCTATTCCGGACATTGATGTGATTTTTATGCAAACCCGCCCTCATCCTTGCTGGCAGCCAAGGCAATTTCAACACTAGCATCTGTATCAGCCAGTGAGCGGTGAGCATCGATCTGGTGGAGGCCTATGATTGGAGAATCTGGTCTCATCAGACCGGTCATTCCCTTGCGGTCGCTAAAGACTCTAGTGTTCATTGGCGGGAGTTTCTATTCTTAACTCTTCATCACCTATTGCAGCATGCGTTCCAGAGGGGGGTTGGGTATGGTGCGCATTCTCGTTCCCCCCTTCGGAAATACGCAGCTAATGTCTACCCTTGTTCCGGCCGGAGGTGACTGCAGCCTGTAAGAGTCGAGAGTGGCTTTTTCACAGTGATGGGCCGATACTAGTGATGTTGGGTGAACTCACTCTCCCACTCGCTTGCCGCTATTCCCCCCTCCAGTCGAACCATGCATATCTGGAGGGCATGGGAGGGATAATGAGAGTGTGTTAAGTATGCTGCTGAGTATTTGGAGAGTACGTCGCCATTGCTTGCCCCGGACATAATCGTTGTGTCTCTGGATGTACATGTATACCAGCCATTCCCAAAACCGCCCTCCCCCATTCACACAAACATATTTTACAACCTGACTCCTGGCAACCCGTCTACATATATCTCCAAGTGCCCACCCCACCACCCAGGCTTCCTTGGGAACTTTCCCGCTTGATGTGATTTCGTCAGTTCTCCTTACCCGATGCCCATTTCTTTCTTTTGTTTGATTGTATGTATCATCGCTTAAGACGAGGATGTGCTTTGATAGCGGTCCTTCTCTGAATTATTAGAAAAATCGTAGAACCGGCGACGGTCTATTTTCCTTGAATTTCCTTGTTGAATATCATTCTTTCTGTGTTGCTTCTTATAACTGGCTTATCTTTCCACGCAGGCTCTATATTATTTCTTGTTTCCAGTCATGGTAAGAATCTTATCCTCTGTTCAACGGTGTTTCTCCTGGTTTCCTCTGTTAATATGCCATCCCACAGGACGCTCCGATCTTATATCAACCAAGGCAGTCATTAGGAGGAGTACAGATATTGCAGAAACCGAGGTCGAACCATATGTCATTCCTCTCCACGCGATCATACAATTCCCGACCGTTGTCAGAAGCGACTGAGATCTTTGACACCGATTATGAAGCGGAGTATTCTCCAGTAGACTCTCCACGCCGAAGTGTTGAATCGGTAAGCGAAAACTTCATGCATGGATTGAATCAAATATCTAATGAAGGTGCAGTTTGGCAACGACAGTGCTACAACGCTGTCAACTGAGGATGAAGCTCCCACCCCCAACGAGTCGGATCATGGAACGTTCAACTTTCAGTTTGGTAAAAGCAAACCGGTCGAAGGGCCAACTGGACCCCATCTATTTCGAGCCTCGTTAGATTCAACGTTTCTCGAAAGATCTGATGATTTAGAATTATACTTCTCGCTCTCTCCTCTGTCATCACAGGACATACAGGCGGCAAAGTCGATCAAAAGAGCCAGCATAGCAGCATCGCCAGAGCACCCCCCGTACTCAGAACGACCCAGACCATCAAGTGTGCCGAACATATCTCCCCAATTCGGAGTAGATGAAGTTATGTCATGGAACCCAATGCAAGTTGCAGAATGGATGTACGAATCTGGATTTGAGGATGCCATAGTTGAACGATTCATCCGGAATGATATCTCAGGCGCTGTCCTCCTCGATCTCCAGATGGACGATTTGAAGGAGCTTGATATCAGCTCATTCGGTAAACGCCATCGGTTGATGAATATGATCCAAAGCTTCCGAGATGAATCAACGAATCCTCTTCAGGACACTTCCGATCAGAGTCTCTCTTCTCGCAGGGTCAGCAGGAGTCCCCCCACGACGAGAGACACCAGCACGGAATGCTTTTCGAATGAATGTGAGACTTCAACACGCGGCTTATCTCGTCGACGGGGCCACTCTAATCGTGTTTTTGCGGAAGGCGATGTGATCTCTCCGGCAGAGTCGGTTTCCATCGTGGCTATCGAACAACTCCTGCCCAAACTACATACATGCTCAAAGGGAGAAAACTGCGCAAGATTCCAAAAACAGCAACGGAAACTTGCACGCATGGCAACTGAGTTCCCAAACCAGTTCAGCACGGTCGATGGCACTATTATCCCCAATACCGCATATAGATCAGTCACTGGAAGTGTCGTGCGGCCCAAATCCGATGCAGCTCCCTCCGTCGTGGCTTCATCTGATGTTCTCGGACCCAGTCCTCCCGAGTTCCAACTTAATGCTGAAAATCTCAACGGGGTGAAACCTAGAGATCCTCAAGAAAATGTTCGACAATTCCTTAACTTTCAGCACATCAACAGTCCACCGATGGAAATGTTTCCTCCTCTCTCCCCACCCGAATCTTCTCAACCCGCTCTCCATATGGCCAACAACCTTCGCAATCTTCCAAAACTCCTGATACCAAGGGATCACTATTCCGATGGTATACTTTCGGGCGGCCAACGCACCATCACCCCTTCAATGGGATCAAGGCAAACAGGCTCTGCCACCGCCACTCAGGAATACAACCCTTACCAATATCCAATCGATATGTTTCGCCAAACTAATACGCCATTTTCGGAAATGGATGTTCCTACTACTGCGTTCCCTGTTGAACCACTAGACCGTGAAGTATCGCAATCGGTCCCGCCTAATATGGTTTACGGCAAAACTTTGCACTCACGGGTTGAACCAGTGTCACGTTCATTATCAACCAAACCCGAGAGTCACCGACGACGCCCTTCCTTTGTCACAATGGCTCGGGTCGACGAGTTCCCTGCAGTGCAGCAGATTGATACCCTCTTTGATCTCCCGACCACTCCTCGTCCAAAATTTACAACAGGACCCCGTCATAAGCCCCCCCATGTCTCTGGAATTTCTCCCTCGGCCAAATCACATCACTCCGACCCAGACGTTACCCACAGCGGATGGATGAAGAAGAGGAAAACAACACGTCTCCTTCGACATGAGTGGCAGGACGCCCACTTTACCCTCCGCGGCACCGTCCTCGCTATGCACAAGGAGAAGAACGATACACAGCGCCATTCTCGGGCTCTTGAGTTCATCGATGTCGATGACTACGCCGTTGCCTGCTCGTCTTTGGCATCGAACTCGAAACTCACAGCCGCATTCAAACGCTCCGTCCTCCGGAAAGCTGCCAATATATCAATGAGCTCTGATGAGACTGCATTTTCATTTTCGCTCATTCCCGCTAATAACAACGGAGAGCGGAAACCCCTCTTCACAGGTCCAGGCAAAAGCCATCATTTCGCAGTGAAGTCTCGGGATGAACGGATTAATTGGATGCGGGAGCTGATGTTAGCCAAGGCACTGAAGAAGGGCAGAGAGGAGGGTGTTGAACTCACAGTTAATGGAAGAAATGTCATCTAGACAAATCCCAGCAATGATTGTTATGCATCTTTTTCCTCTTCGTTGTCTTCTCCTCCCCTCTTCTTGGTTCCTTTTTTTTTCCTCATTTTCTTCCTCCCCCTTGATTTTGAACACTATAGCGAGCATTTTATTTTAATGTTTGTGTGAATACCCTTTGTTAACAAGTTGATACCCATGTCCTTTACCACTCTTATTGAGTTTCTTTTTTCCTTCCTCATACTTTTATTTTCATTTCTACAAGGAGCAGTTACGTGATAACCAAACCGATATCGTATACAAACAGGGATATTTTCCTGCTGTGTTCGTCTTTACGATTCTGGGCGGCTACTCTTTCAACTTTGCACACCCATCTATATATCCCCCCCTTTGTTTACAGCCCTTCATATATCACCTTCTGTTTTCTGAGTACTCATGCGATGATATCTAGGTAGTTAACTTGATTAGCACAATTAGTACAGAATGAAAAAAAAAGTGAATGATGAATGCAGCCAGTAACTAAGGACAATCTTTTCACTCGTGTTCTTTTATCATCTCAGGCTCGTAACGAACAAGAGAGACGAATTCCCCAATGGGTTTTTGTAGCCTTCCAGTAACGAGACTGCTGATTATAAATGAAACTCCAGAAATCGATTTAACTTGTGAGCGCCAAAATTTTTCAACCGCATTTAATGGTAGATTCCAGTAGAGACAGCTTCATGATGCGCTCATGCCACCTCGTTAAGCTCCTGGCACGCCGAACCAATTATCAGATCCGTTGAAATGATCAAAAGCTGTTAACGACTCTAAAGAATACCATGGTTGGCATGTCCTCCAGCAGTTAGACTTTCACTCATTCTGTTTTAAGTTGAACGGACAACGGTATGTCTCATCTGTACACGCGTCGCCATGGCTGTTCTTTTAAGGCGCTGGCACAGTTACGGTGGATGATATGCGAAACCATGGCTTTTTGCGCTTTTTGTCATCGGTGTCTGTCGATTGTCAGCTCTCTTGGGGTTGAAACAGGCAGGTTGCGAACCAGTGTCACGGTGATATCAGATATTTGGTCTCTATCGGCGATCTAAATTATGAAAGTGGCTGAACTTGTAACGAAATTCCCAATATGGGAAATAGCACAAAAGTTTTATCCAGAGAACCATTCGAGTGCATGTCCAAATCTCTCCAGTTGAAGTGAGAGTGTAATGATATTGCACGTATCTATCTCATCACGCGAAGCTGCGAAACTTCATTCCTACCACTACTTTGTCGAATTAGTACAGCTATCCAGAATTTCACTGAAAAAAAAAGGAAATGAAATGAAACGGCAGTTGGTATGCAATTATCATCTATTTTCGATAGGGATAAACCAAAACACCTTATTCAGTAATTATCATTCACTCTTCTGCGGAAAATGTGCATTGGCAGCACCAGTCTCCTTTATCTTTCTCATTGGAATAAACTCAGAACGGGATGCAAGGATTTCTAGAAAAGCTCTTCTGTCAACCAGAACCCTGCCGGGAGCAAGTACAGCACACATTACCGCTATCCCCGTCATTTACCGTGCTTGCTTCATCCAACCATGGTAACTACAATGGCTAACCACCCATCTGCATACCCCGCCACACGCACCACTTCTTCAAGTGTTGCAATCAAAGGAACCACGGCTCCTTGGAGGACAGGTTTGGCTAGGACCGGAATCCGTTTGCTAGGGAAGAGACTCGGGAGTAGGGAATTCAGACTTGATCCAACAGTTTGTGGCTGCGACTGGGTAGGTCGTCCAGGAGCCCCACCCTGACTAGTTGAGGGTTGAATCGTTGGTGGAAATAGAGACTGTATTACTTTAAGAGAAGGGGTGGCGGAGTTCGGTGGGGACGGCAGGAAAATTCTCAGGGGGATGTTTCGAAATTGGTTGGGTGGGCTGGGGATGAGGATGTTCGAAATGCGTTGGAAGTTCGTGAAGTCATCTATCCTCTTTGTTAATGCACCTATTTTTAACCGCTTGTAATGAAGGCGGCTATATACGCACGGTCTTGGACAGCTTGCCACAGTCCCGATGAATCTTCTTTCGACAATGTCATGATACCTTTCGCGGTTCCATTCCGAACGAAATCAGCTTCCTTGACGCTATTAATGAATGCATCATGGATAACTCTTCCGTCAGCATCGAGGCGAACAAGCTCCTGATCTGGCCAGTCGCTGAAATGAACCTGCAACCGCCAAGGAATTGGTTTCCGGTGTTCATGTTCACTGTGGGGGTCGGAATCGTCTTCCTCTCCTGGAGATGCAGCATGCGAAACGTCTTCCCCAACACTGGATTTGGAAGTCACTGGATCTGCTCCGGAGTATAAATCATACAAGAGCCCAAGGGGGTAGTGCCATTTCAGGGGCACCCCTTCGAAAGAAAACCAGCCTTGATGAGGTTGGGTTTCGATATCAATCAACCAGGAAGTAAAAAATGCATGTAGCCTTGGAAGGAGAAACGGCAAATATGATACTCGAGGATAACATATCTATCGGATGATTTTGGGTCAGATAGATGCAGAGAAAACAGAAGAAAAGCGCTAGATTAAGGCAAGAACTTTAATGTACAAGGTACGGGTCAGCTTTGTCATATGTCCTGCATTCAGATGGAGAAAGTGTTATCTCAAGTGGAATACGGCCATCCCATACTCTTCGCTGGATAGCGTTTGGGGATGGTGTTGGGCTTCCCATGACTCGCGCGATCTTGCCTATGAAACTTTGGCAACGCAATATTCATCATGGGGAAGGCCTAATGAGTATATCTTCGAGTCAGCAATCCCCAAGCTCGCCAATATTGTTCAAACATAAACATTTGCTATTCCTCACATAGACTTGGTGATGGGCAATTAGTACAGAAGCCCCGCTGTACAACACCCCCAAGTGCAACTCAATATCTGATCTCTACTATCCAGGGGAACTGCAGGCTACCAGCAAGATAAAGTCTGGAAAACGTAAATTTCAGTTGGTTTAACGTCGGATGTATCTGCTCCTCCTGCACCAGCAGTATTTAAAAATAGACCGAAAGATGATGTAGATGAAAGCGCTGCTTTGACGTTGTGGATTTCTCGCAATGGATGATTACTTATGATAATCACACGTGACCACAACGTCTGTGGATATCGCTGTAGTCACCGACACCGGATGCATCAGAAGTTATAAATATCAACATATTCTAATTACTTGTTCGGAATTCTGTCAGGGTCACCTGTGGATATAGAGATTGTATGTATCTTTTTATCTTCAAAATTGCCTCGAAATCTAATCTGGAGACTGTCTCGAATACCTGGAGGCATCACTCAAAACGGAGACGACTGCCGTGCAACGTCATCACAGAAACCAAATGATATAGGCACAAATTTCATATCTTTGAGTGTTGTCATATTGACAGCCTGCTTTTTGATCCCAACTTGCAGGTGGAGGCGTTCCACAATCCACAGCACTAAATGTTCTATGGTCAATTTACACTCAAGATTATTATTCTCCACGCCCAGAATCACGGCTGTGATTGATTTCTTTCCTCGGCAGGTCCTCTTAACCTCACTTCAGGGCTATACAACTATGGCAGACAAGGAACGACCTTTAAAAAGGCGTAAAGGTTCCCATGAAACATCGGAGGTGGTCTATGATACCCCCTCAGGAGGCGCTAGCGCATTGGTGTCTCTAAACAGATCAATCACCCCCCCTATACGATCCCCTCCAAAACAGTCGTGCTCGTCCAATGCAAAGATAGCACGGCAAAAGTCTCCTGTTATACCAAACGGTATTCCGTCTCCAATCCAACTCACCCGGGTTCGTGATTTCCCTGCATCGTCAGAGAACAACACAGATACAGTCAAGCTGCGTGACATCCTTGGGGATCCTCTCATCAAGGAATGCTGGCAGTTCAATTATATTTTTGACGTCGATTTTCTGATGAGCCAGTTTGATCAAGACGTGCGAGGCTTGGTCAAAGTTAAAATCATACATGGTTCTTGGAAAAGGGAGTCTCCCAATCGAATTCATATCGATGTTAGTAGGCCTTGCCTTTTCTTTTTTTTCTTTTTTTTTTCCAACACAATTGCGGTGCGGCTTCATTCAATATTGGGTGATATAGACGATACAGTCAATTCAAGTTCCCAAAAAACTAACTTGTGTATGTAGGAGGGCTGCCGTCGATATCCCAATGTTGAACCAATGGTCGCCTATATGCCAGAGGCCTTTGGTACGCATCATTCCAAAATGATGGTCATTATCAAACATGATGACCAAGCACAGTATGTATCTTTATTCTACAAAAAGTTCTCAACCTCAGTTCTGAAAATTACCACAGAATTGTTATTCATACGGCGAACATGATTGCAGGGGATTGGGCGAATATGTGCCAAGCAGTTTGGCGATCCCCGATGCTCCCCATGTTATCTAATAAGCGAAGAGAGCATCCTTCCGCCACTCCAAATGACGTCGGGACCGGAAGTCGGTTTAAGAGGGATCTGTTAGCCTACTTTGAGACATATGGCCATAACAAGACTGGTGCATTAATCGAACAACTAGAAAAGTACGATTTCAGTGCCATTCGAGCGGCGCTGATAGCCAGTGTTCCCTCGAGGCAGACAATTGACGAACTAGATTCGAAAAGACGCACGCTGTGGGGTTGGCCTGCGTTGAAAGACACAATACGGCAAATTCCCTTTAAAAAGGGGACGAAGAGTACTGAGAAGCAACCCCAAATAGTTATCCAGGTAGGCAGGATTGCTCTTTACCAAGAACTGAATGCCATACTTTTTGAGATTATTTATTTACAGGAACCACAAGATCTCTTCAGTGGCGACGTTAGGGCAGACAGACAAGTGGCTGAAGGAAACGCTCTTCAACTCCCTCTCACCACCATCAGCCCGTTCCTCGGAGTTATTTAAAACAGAGTCCAATTCCCCGGCAAAATTCTCAATCATATTTCCTACTCCAGATGAAATCCGCCGATCATTGAATGGCTACATGTCTGGCGGATCAATTCATATGAAACTCCAAAGTGCTGCTCAACAAAAGCAACTTCAGTACCTACAACCATATCTATGTCGCTGGGCAGGTGACGCCAACGATGATGGTGTAAAATCTGCAGGAGGCCCCGCCACATCTAAACGAAAACGTCTCGAAGGCAACGAGGTCAGCGAGTCCGTACAAGATGGCGCTTCCCTAAAAAAAGCGCATCGGCCCATTCGAGAAGCCGGGCGCCGCAGAGCAGCGCCACACATAAAAACATACGTCCGGTTCTCAGACACAGACATGACCACTATCGACTGGGCAATGGTGACTTCTGCAAATTTATCTCTGCAAGCATGGGGCGCAGCGGCGAATGTGAAGAAAGAGATTCGGATATGCAGCTATGAAATAGGCGTGTTAGTCTGGCCCAGATTTATTGTTGACGAGGAGATAGATGATAGTGATGAACCTCTGATGAAGGAAAAGGGCAAGGATAACAGTAGGGGGGAAATAAGCGGGCATAAGAACACAAAAGACGTGAAAACCGCAGTGATGGTGCCTTGTTTTAAGAGAGACATGCCTGAAGCAGCGGAGAACGAAGCTCGTTCATCTAATACAACGTTGGTAGGGTTCCGCATGCCATATGACCTTCCTCTCCACTCATACGCTGCAAAGGACCAGCCGTGGTGCGCTACGGCTACTTACAGTGAGCCCGACTGGTTAGGTCAGACGTGGGAAATAGAATAACTAGAATAGTTAATAGCAAAGTTGACTCGATGCAAGCCCACATCTGTTCGTGAATGCGTCTAACTAGCTACGCTGATATGGACAAGCCCGCACCTGTTCTCTGGCTTTTTCTTTCGCGCACCTACGAATAATCCGCCCTGCTTTGGATTTTCAGTTAATTAAACGCTGTTGCCGGATACTTCTGGCTCCCTTCTGACTTGTATCTTTGCCCATTCATGAGTTGCCAATTCTGAAGGGCGCATGGTGATGAATTTTCACGTCCAACTATACTAGTTATTTAGTTATCCTCTCCTTTCACTTAACCATCTGTAAACACTCAATCACGTCAAATACTTAGCAGACACGCGACAGCAGACGAAGATCGGAAAATATATATATATATATATATATATATATATATATTCACGGTCGGCCATAATTCCGTCGAACATCGAGTTCTAGAGCAAACCAAACCCCTGGTGGCTGGCAACTCTGGCTGCTGTGGGTCTTCTGCAGACAGCTCAGCCCCACCCGATCAGCTCCGAGACCGAGAGTGTCCGGCTCCGAGTTCTTCCCGCGCCGACATCATCGCTGCCATCCCATGGATTTGACCGTCTTCCCCGCAGAAACCACCCAACACCCAATAAACCATCGACATCATGACCGCTCCGTCGGCCTTGTCTGCCTTTAACTGCGCCCCCTTCCAGTTGGCGAAGTGCTGAAAGAACCTCGAAGAAGCCTCAGACCAACATCTGAGGAAAAGCCATCCTGAACGGAGAAGACGGAGCTGAACCAACCCCTCCAGCCACTCCAACCCCCTCCATTTCAGGTTAACGATTCCATCTATCCTCTCTGCATTGCGTTTGGTATTACCCGGGCGGTTTGAAGGGCATCCGTTCCTCGCCTACCTCTAGGATATCACGCGTTGGCTACTGAATATCGAATCCACTCTCAGGCAATATTAACCTCATACTTTATTGAGCACTTCGCGAAAAGTTTGCCCTCATATCCCTTTATCGCAACAACCCCGAGGACGAAAAAAACAGGGTGGCTAAACAGGGTAAACACTGTACAAATATCTTGACGGTCCTTTTTTCCACCTTTTTAGGTGCTGGTTGTTGGGAGCTTGGTACGAACATACTGGTAACCCCGGTTATGCATGTCATACACGTTGCATCGCACCCAAATGATGACATATCGTTGATATCTTCGCCATCTCCGTCGATTCTGCGGCGAGAACTCTTCTCGCTTAGATTCTAGCAATTGTTCGATGCCTGCGACATCGAAGATAGAATAATAAAAGAACATTCGGGCAACATCAGCCTCGAGCCTCGTTGTCACTCAACACGCAACGGTCTCTTACCATCACAACGTTGGCGACGTCGGCGACGTTGACATCATGTCTACCAACCGCCCTTTTCTTGCCAATTTTTTGGCAGCCTTTCGGGCTCAATCTGCCTACAAATCAACCAAGCCTCCCTCCCCAGGTCCTTCCACGAATCCTCTTTCACAATCCCACGTTACCTCCGCAGCGAATTCACCATCCACGTCCTCGAACACACGAACCGTAACTACGAAAACGGTATCTCCATCCAGCTCTGCAGCAGGCTGCACTGGCCACACATCGACAAGCCCCCCACCCCAATCTACGACTGCAGCCGTTCAAGCAGCAGCAGCGGCGGCGGCGGCATCGGGCCAATTGCATTCCCACCATCCTCACCGCCACCACGCACCAACCCACAGCACCACAGCATCGTCTCGCGCCCAATCGCATTCCCGTTCCGGTCCCTCCCCAAGCACTACTCCAACATCTGCCGGTCCACTACCCATACCCATACCATCATCACATCACAGGCACCGTCGGGGAAGCGACAGCAGCAGTGGGAGCGGAGGCTTCCGGGATGCCCTAACCTCAGAAAAATGGTATGTAGGTGGACGGACAGCCGCTGGGGAAGAGCGCTTTTACCCTCTCGGCTTAGTGACAAAGGGAGGGCGACATCTGGGGAGAGTTGGAAGCGCAGATCAGCTCAGTCTTTAGAAAGAAAACGTTAAGCAGTGTGGAATAGCGATGGTCATGTATATGTGTGTCTGGTCTGAAATTACCGGTTTGCTACGACCACCAGGTGTTTTGACTCCGTGCTGCAGTCGACAAGTGAGTGATATGGTACTCTTTTCGTCTCAAGATCCATGTTTCCATCAAAGTCTCCGCTCTTAAAAAGGGTCCATTTTGGGGGCTTCCAGCAGATGGAGGTGCATTGCAGCACTGAGAAACACACATTCAAATGTTAAATAATGTTTGTGATCAGTGGGGAGGGGTCGCAGCTCCCCTTGAGTCTCGACATAGACCATGTGGGAAGCTTTGCAATGCATATGAGATAGGGAAGATGTCCCTATTTATGGAGCACCGATGAGAGACCCCATGTGCCTGTCCACCACCCTCTTATCCCTTAAGCAGGGATCATGTTTTTCTTTTGCTATTTATATCTAATTTTTTGTGGAATATGACTCATGAAAGACAAGTTCATCTTCATGTACATATATCTTGTTGGATGTGACAGTTAGTTTCTGCTCCCTCTCCTTTTATTTTCACCTTTCATTTTCAGCTTTGCTTAACACCATCTTTCTGTTAGTCTCCTCTTTTTTCCTCTTTATTTCTCTTCTCCGCCATCCTCATAAAAGATAAAAAGGAGCGTACAGGACATATTTCCTCAATCATGTAACCTATCATAACTTTTTTTTTCTAATAAGCGTTGGTTAAAAAGAGACGTAAAATGCAATCAGATACAAGCAATGACAGCTATACATTGTTGATGAATTAGATAGTAATAGCATTTATAGGCAGAGAAAAGATCAAGATTGCTCCCCCTATATATCCGGTATGGGAAGAGTGAGTGCCCCTAATTTAGATAGTAGGTTGGATATGAAGGATGAGATTTGTGATTAAGTGAGAAGATAAAAGATATATAACTCTAAATTGAATTCAGTTTTGTAAGCGGAAACAAAAAATTCTGAGTGACTTCGAGGCTTTTCTGACTCTTTTTCTTTTGGACGTCTGATCAAAATACATGTAAAAAACCTTAGATCTGTTTGTTTATCCATGTATGCTATTGAAAAGAAAATACTATTCTACTCCCCTGAGGAGAAATACCGCTAGCGACCTTATCTACCAGGCTAAATACAAGGTAACAACTTCCCCAGAGGCTTATATTTTCTTAAAAAAGGACGAGAAAAGGGGATGTAATTCTATTGAAATCAGAACGGAGATAAAAAATGAAACATATTTTCAGATAATCTATAATACATACACGCCTGCTACTACCCTCTCTCTCTCTCATCCCTTCTCACTGATCGTTCGACACACCCGTGCGTGTGGGAATATAAAGCCAACTGAAAAAGGGCAAGGTAAAAAAAGCGTAGCCCAACGTCTAGAGAGTTTTAACGAGATAGTTCAGAAGGGCTGTTCATTTTTAATTCAATTGATTTTAGAATTAGATATTATATTGCAAATAAATATATAATGGAGAAGGGTTCAAGGAGGATGAACTAACGTTATCTTCAGGAGGGATGCTTCGTTCCCAGTATCCACCAATGATGGGAATCTTCATCAAGATATCCTTTCGGACACGGGGGACCTCGCCAAAGAAGAAAACAGCGAAAATCGCGGTGGAAACACCGAAGGCTGAGGCAATTGCACCACTAATTTGAACAATAAAAGGTGAGCGATGTTGCCAAACTCTGATACCAATGTATAAATTGACAAAAGGTCCGCAAGCAGGTCGAGAACGCATGTTCTCAGGATTGCATAAGCTATAATAGGAATATGAAGGAAGAGAGAACCTACTATCGGGAAGCGGTTTTTAGGGAGAGGTTGCCGATGTGAGGTTGTACCTTGGCTCTATATGAGATATCGAGGTTAGCGTATGTTAGTTGGGCGGTCGGGTTGAATCAATTTGCAACATAAAAAAGATCAATGGAATGAATGCTCCCCGGTAAACAAGTTAACGGGGAGAACATTGGTCCCTCTCTCGCTCTTTTATCATACCACCATCGATTCGCAACTCCTCAACCTCCATTATGCCACTGTCGGAAAAGCGCAGGGTTGCCCTTCTCTTCCCTTTTTCCCAACGATTCATTCGATAATGCTTGTATTCACCCGTTCCCTTTGGATATCTATCCACGAGCTGCGACTCCTGCCATTAATCAATCTCGATATCTTCAGGCTCACGGATAGTCCATTTCGAATTCTCTCATATCCAAGATACCTCTCCGAAACCTCGAAGTCTTGCCATTATTCACACCCCCTTAGAAAGAAGCAGAAAGGAGAGAAGGGTATCATCCTTACCTAGACGCAAAGGCAGATGCAGCGGCCCAGCGAGCCGGGGTGGGGGATACCTATTGCCAAAAGGAACACGCATGTTAGAAAAAAAAAATTTCCTTAGTTTACAAAGCAAAGAAGAGCAGAAGCACCAAACAGCGAAGCAAAGAGCAAAAAACATTAAATGTCTCAACAGGACACCGAGAAACAAAAATAGACAATTCCAGTTTCCAATCCCAGAAATCGGTCTTGGGGTTTAATGCAACGACGATCATGACGACGGCAACAGAATGAGATTCCAGATTGACAAGCACACAGCTCCTTTTGCGGCGCCAAATTGAAACCGGTTGCCCGCTCCTCAATGGCACCCTGGAATTGACAATGGTCGAATTTACAGAACGCCAAAGAGGAGCTTGCTAGTATCGTTCGCTTTGCATTCCGTTATATTTTTCCATCATCGTCGTCATCATCGATTTGCACTTCCAATATTCAATTATGATCGCGACCGCATCCACCCAAGCCTGTAGGCGATAACCCCCCACCCCCAATTCCCAGCTCCGCAGATCGATTGATTCAGAGCCCCTTCTGTTTGCTTATCTTGTCTCCGTTTGAAGGAAACAAATGCCCTGATCCACGATAGCAACTCCGCCAGCCCATCCCGATCTCAAAACAATCGTCCATAATAAAACAAACTTGAAAAAACTCGAACCGCTGCTGGGGGGTGCAGGCCTAAAAAAGGGACAATTATGAAAAGAGAGAACGTACCATTGTGAAAAATATATCAATTCACCAACCTAGCAGAGAGAAATCGTAATTGAGGTTGGGGGGGAGGGGAGGGAATAAATTGCTTTTAATGATGTCGTCGTTGCGTCGTTGTTCAGTCGGGGCACTTCGGGATGGGAACCGCGAGAGAAAGCACTGCATCACGTGATAACTTTCGTGCACCCCGGGAAAACTTCTGTCCGGCGTTGGAGTTTATTACTTGCCCGGATACAACTTCAGTATCCGAACCCGTCTGTGTTGTTTATACAGATGCACGCACATTCATTAATTTAACGAGCTCGCTAGCTGCCTCTCTCTATCTCTATTCAACATAACAATCCATAATGAATCCTGAAAATATACAGAAATATGACGCACAATCCCATCTTCACCCTTCCTTCAAACATACGGACGGAATCATTTTTTGATTAGATTTGTTCTTTTTAAATTCACTTTTTATATACAGATGGTATATACATATACCTAAGTATGGCATACATATCTATGTTTGCACACATATAAGTATTCCGCTCCCTTTTATCAATTTTGTAAAATAAAAAATATAAAATAAATAAAATAAATATATAAATAAAAACTTTGCACAAGAAGCAGCAAAATGTAAAAGCAGAAAACAGAAACGTAAGGGTGAGACCGGGGAGGGGGTTCTCTTCTTTCGTCAAGGTCAACAAAAGTACAGGTGAAAAGGAACCAAACAGACGAAGAAGCAGAGCAATTCAAAAGTATGATGAACCCATACAAAATGCATCTTGGAAATTAGCGCAAAAAGGCAAAAACACGAAGTGAGCGGAGCGGAATAGGAAGCAGAACAATGAAATGGCAGAGGTCAAAAGAACACCATCTTCGCCACAATAAATGAAAACAGAAAAACAACAACCTTTCCTCACACCCGGTCCCATTTTAAACCTCCTATTTTTTCCCCCATCGTTTTCGGTTCTATTTTCCTATCCTGCACCCCAGGATCTATGTCACCTGCATCCTTTCCTTTTTGCCTTGTGTCTGCATCGTTTCCAGCGCTGTTTCTGCTTCCCCATTTCCTAGATCCCCGCTTTCCATACTCTATTCTGGAGTCTAATTTGCTGTCGTTGGAACTGTCGCTGCCGTTATAGCCGTCATCGTTAAGTGGAGCTGGAAGTGAGATATTGCATTCCATTCCATGGAAATCTATCTTTTTCGATTGCGCAATCTCGAAGTGGGGTATTTTTTGGGAGGAAACATGTCAACAACGAAATAGGAACTAAGAAGGAAAAAAAACACAAATGTGAGATGCAAGACTATGAATGAAAATATATATACGTGTCAAAACCAGAACAATTTTCACGAAGCAATAAAACAAGTACCAATCTAGAACAATGCAAAAGCTGAACAGAGCCCACCGAACCCCGCCAAACCACGATCCAGGAATGGAAAGGAAAAAAGGGTAAAAAATAGAAAGAAAAGAAGAGAAAATAGAAGAAGAAAAAAAATGATAACTGGAAACCTTTATGAGAATGGAAATCTTGTACATATGAAGAATATGCAGGTTAAGACAGCCGTAACAACGTGAGAAAATCCGGCGTGGTAGCCTTTTCGCAACAACACGAAAAAAAATATGACAAATGAAAACGGATAAATAGAGAGGAGAGTCAATAAAATAAGCAGAATCAAAGGCTTTCCTTTCCGTATAAAATAGTGAAGTTATATATATATATATATATAATATTGAATAATCATGAAAACCAAACAAGAAAAAACAATAACAATAACATGCTCCGACCCCAATCTATAAATGCTAGTATGCTTTGTCCGATTTGCCTGGAAGGAAGATGCCTGTGATGGTTTTGTTCATTCGCACCCGCGCCCAGCGCGCTTGTTGCAATTTTATTTTCTTTTGGACCGATGCCTCGATGACAGGAAAGGGAAATTGGGAAAAGCGTAGCTTGTATTTGTCACGAAAAAAGTGTTTTGAGTGGCCATATGTGCAATTTGTGCCAGGAACGAGGAACATGGAACGTGGGAGAATTGAATATATCGACGTGAAACCAAGGAATGGGAAGAAATGGTACT